GTGTATGCAGTCAGACGCGCGCACACATGAGGCTCACTTCAGTTCGTCAGTCATCTTGCAAGAACACACCGTGCACAAACCAATACCGCTGCAAAACACACTCACCGGACCGTCGGTTGTTGCAGTCGTCCGTCGGGTCTTTGGTTTCGAGACTAGCAGCGCTAGCGCTTAGCTCCAGGACACCTCAGGGGTGGACGTCTGTGTTGATCATGTGACCGACTGAGGGTGGTTCTCATTCATTCATTCATTCATTCATTCATCCATCCATCCATTATCTGTACACCGCTTGATCCTCATTAGGGTCGCGGGGGGGCTGGAGCCTATCCCAGTCGACTTAGGGCGAAGGCAGGGGACACCCTGGACAGGTCGAAAACGGAATCGGCCGTGAGCCAGGTTCGAACTCACGACCTCCACATCGGGACTGCTGCCCGATAAGGGGCGTGCCAGCTCAACCAAGTGAGCTATTGCGGCGCATTGATTGATTGATTGATTGATTGATTGATTGATTGATTGATTGATTGATTGATTGATTGATTGATTGATTGATTGATTGATTGATTGATTTAGACCACAGACTTTCACACACACGCTTACCAAAACAAACAAACAAACAAACAAACAAAACCAGCAACTTTGACAAAAGGGCACTTTGAGCATAAAGGGCAAAAGGGGCAGGTTCTTCCCCACCCGCCGACCCGCAAGTGCCTGAATGTGTCCTGACCAAAAAAAAAAAAAACTTCACAAAAGAAAACGTACCAGTTGTATGATTTAATATATGAATAGTTCATTTGCAAAAACAGATAACTCCATCTTCACAAACCTTCAGAAAACCCACTTTTTCATCGTCTACCTGAGATAATATCAAACTTAAGTTATCTGTATTTGTCATGTCATTTCTACTGAGTCAAATCCACTCACCTTCAGTTTGATTGATATTATCTCAAGCAAACAACAAAAAAAGTTTTCTGAAAATCTACAAAAAAAATGAGTGATCTGTTTTTGCAAATGAACTCTTCATATATTTAAATGTACCTAAAAATGGCATTTTGAGGTTATTTTGTACCAGTGCAGTTGCAGATCTTGTGACAGTGCAAAGGAACCCAATGAACTTCTTTTCTCATGTGCACCATAAGCAAAAGACAGTATGTGTTGGCAGGGAATACAAACAGTTTCACAACATCAAGCTTCCCTTTGACCGCCATTTTCCTAGATTTGATCCACATTGGTGGCTCTAAAGTCCATTTCAACAGAATCTGACACAGAAACAACCTAAATATACAAAGAATTGCAGCACCTGCACATTTTTTTAACTTAATTTTGCATATTTTGAGTCACATTTGGACTTTTTTTTTCAGTTTCAAGCTAAACACAATATAATTTACTGCTGTCAAATGTCAAAAATGTATAATGGTTAAAGTATTAATGTGGGCCAGGGACCTGTCTTCACCCTAAATCAGCTGGGATAGGCTCCCATGCCCCCGCGACCCTGATGATACACGGATGGATGGTTGTTTAACTAGATGCACGTCTTTCCACTGCTGAGGCTGTGCACTCGTACGGCTCGGTCAAATCTAGTGTCATACTTTTCAACAACTTCTGTGGATGTGACAGATGTGATTGTGCACTTTTAGCTTCTGAAAAATAATGTCATGTACTTGTAGTTATTAGGGAATATGGAAAAAAAAAAAAAAAGGTTTTTGTCCTCCAGTGATATCAGCTGTTGGGTTGAATCTGAATCGAATCAGTAAACGGTGATGTCACTACCAAAATGTGTTTTGTCTGACGTGTCTGATGTGCAGTTCAGAAACTGAACATAACCCCTATTTAAGGTGCAAACATGAATAATTTACTTCAGTTAACCTAATTTCTAGGAAATCATACAAAACCCTCCTATTATGTTGTGGGTCAAATTGACCTTGAAGTTTAAAAAAAAAGGTTAAGGTAATGTTGCCCTGGTTTTCATATGCACATGTGTGTATTTAGTGCCTGTATTTACCTCTGATAAACTGTATCGTCGCTTTTATCAGGCTATGTTTACTCAACCCCTCTACCAAATGGATTCACTAAATCTGCTGCTAAGCAACCAGCATACGGCAGCACGCAACGAGATAAATGTATCACATCTGCAAGAAAAGTAACGCTAATATTTATCTTTGCGGCTTAAATACCTCTCACAATAGGAATAAACAAACATCTCCCTGTAAACCGCTTAAAATAATGCATTTCTGTTATCTGCTTTTGGAAATCTTACAATAAACCATATAAAAGGACTGAAAATAGCTTCACTGTAGAGACAGCAAACCCACACCTGCTGTCACCATCTTCTTAACACTGACGCTGTTTTCTGATAAATGTCTGTGAACGACATCTGAAGATTCACTTTTGGTGTTGTCTTTTTGCATTATTTTGCATAATTAAATGAGAGAAATATGAAACTATAAGTCTATTTATGGAAATTTTTAATTACTGAGTCAGGAATGGGCTGCATGGTGGCTGGGGGGTTAGCACCATCGCCTCACAGCTACAAGATCCCTGGTTCCCATCCCGGCCTGAGCCTGGGATCTTCTTTTGTGGAGTTTGCATGTTCTCCCCATGCAGCATGGGTTCTCACCGGGTTCTCTGGCTTCCTCCCACAGTCCAAAAACATGCTGAGGTCAATTGTTGTCTCTGGTGATAGATGTGAGTATGCTTGTTTGTCTCTCTGTGTGGCCCTACAATAGACTGGAGACCTCTCCGGGTGTCTCCTGAGGCGGCTGGGTTTAGGCTGGAGTGGTATGAATGAGCTCAACGTGGACTGTTTGTTAGATCAAAGTCTGAAAGGTACCAGGAGGGTGGCTTTAAATAAGACAAATAAAGGTAAAAATGTGAGAGATGTTTAAGTAGAGCACGGCAAACAAAAACAGAAAAAAAGGACACCGGTGTTTGATAAGGCCAGGGCCACACAGCTCCATAAACCAACGCACGGGTAAGAGGCCCAGTTTAGCAGGAGACAGGACTTTGGTACTTTGACAGTGAGGACAGCAGCAATGTACTGATGACATGCAGCCATAGGCAGTAAATCAGTGTTAGATGTTATCATGGACTGCTCCTGATAACATTTGTTTTAGAGAAAAGATCCACTGAGAAACTTTGCTCGATAACTATGACCACAAAGTCACCATAAACAAAACAGCAGCTGTGTAAAAATAACAGTTTTCAAAACACTTGGCTTATTGTCGAGATTTCCAGCAGCATTCAGGTTAACAATTACCCTTGAAAATTTGTTATTAATGCAATAATATTAATTAGGGAAAACATACGTAAGCGGTCCGCATTCTGTGTATTTTGGATTTTTCAAATACATCTTCACAAAATTACCATATCACAAATGTATTGGTCATATTTATTCATGTGAATTTTTAAAGAAAATGTAGTAAATGAAATATTTAGCTGTCAAACCACACCTGAACCTGAATCTGACTTGGCTCAAAGAATTAGCATTGAGATCTACTAAGTTGACTCCAGTCAACAAGGCCAGTGGCACTTAATGGTAAGATTTAGAGGCATCACTCTTGATTTCATCATGCCAAGAGCAAAGGAACTATGGGAATGAATTTTGGAATCTGACCTGGCCTGATGAGACAGAACTGGAGCTGTTTGGGCACATGGATGTTGCTTCTTTCTTTCTTTTCTGGTAATAGAAGGGAGAAGCCTTCAGTTTTCAATTTCCCAAAGCTAAACATGGTTTGGATTGGAGCCGCTTTGCTGTTTCAAGCACAGGGAATCTTGCTTGAGTGCACATAGTCATGAAGAAAGAAGATGATTTTATGAAAGACAATGTGAAGAAATCTGCTGCCAGTCTGGTTTGAGGTCGCTGTTGGGTCTTCCATCAAGAAAATGACACAAAACCCACATCCAAGTTGCTCTAGAACTTCATAATAAGATATATTAAAATCAAGGTAATATCAAAGCCAAGACCCTACATAAAATCTGTGACAGGGACCTTAGGTTAAGGTCGGGTTTTGAAAACGATGTCATTTGGATGAGCTGGAACAATTTTCTATAGAGGAATAGGCAAAGATCCCTCCAGAGACATGCACCTCGTTAGACCTCGTTAGGATCTACGGTAAAAGGTTGCTGTCAGTTGTAAGTCAGAAAGATTCACTACTGACTATTAATTGTCAGAGACCTAAAATTTTGGCCTTGTCTCTTGTTCTTTTCTTGTTTCCACTCAGTGCATCAGTACACTAGCTTCATCAAACGTTGTTGAAAAAGGAATTAATTCTTCTATAAATAGTTTTGGTGCTGTAACTTCCTTGAAAAAGCTGAAGGATTTGTCCGATTTGGATTTGGACCTTCACTGTAAATACTGGCATGGTGTTGCAGTCTATTTGCCAAGTTTGGCCGTCGCAACATGCTGCCAGACAAACCACAGTCCATCACTTTAGAGTCTAAAAACATTGTATGTAAAATGTTTAATATTATTAAAAGGCCTACTAAAGAAAAATCCACATAATAGTCCATCTCCCCAGTGCTTAATATGGTAAACAATAGCGTTTAAGGTTATATGAGTAAACTGTCTTGGATGCTAAGATCAAGTGAGTGACCGAAAGCCTCTCGAAAGATGTGAGAAAGATATCAGTTCAAAAAATGAAATTCTGTAAGTGGCCTGTTAGAGGAGCTGCTGCTGCCACATGCAGGTGAGAGGTTGCAGAAATAGCAGGTGAGACACTGTGTTCTTTGTCCTGTTTTCCATTGTCATTTACTTTTGGTAACAACAAAACATACAACACGTCCCCTGGTTAACACTCAGTTCATATTCAACTACAAGTAGAGCAAGCTGTTCTCATGCAGACATAAAGAGGCTACATCTTCAGAGGAGACAAAACTCGCGGGGCAAAAATTAACCCTCCTCCATTGAGGAAAAGTGTTGTCAAAAGAAAACCACTAAAGAGGACTGGGACATGAGCTATTCCAGTTACATTTTTATCAAATTAATTTTCTGGACTTTTGTGGATTCCTAACCTTTGTGTGTTGTTGTCATTGGCTTTACTTGTCCATTGTTTGGGGGTCTCACAGATTGTTGTACAATAATCACAATAACTGGATTTAATTACGAGATTATCCTTCCTTGAACTTCCATGTGATGGTTACAAACTCAAAAATTTGCATAAAACATTGTTATGACACCAATTACGAACATATTTCAAGTTGAATATATTATATAGACCGTGTATCATCATCAAATGTGACCCAAGATTTGACATGCTGCCATTACTTTTGTTTGAGGTCACTCCTGTTGGACAGCTTATAAAGACTGTTACATAATTCCAAACCTAAAAATGTGGATAGGTGCTGCTGAATGCAAGAAGAAGAAAAAAAACCCCACACCAATCACATATACAGAGCTGCAAAATCCACTGTATTCAAGTTTTACAGCTGGCATCTCTCCACAGCGAGACTCCAAACAGAACTGACTTCTGAGGCATGTCATCAGCTCAAAATCCTTTTTACTGTATGAGCATAAAATTAGGAAAAGTCATGAAGGATCAAGGTGATAAAAATAATGTTAAGCCTACTTTGAGCGATGCAACAAGAATTCAGCTGAGGGAGCTAACATCCTAATTACCATGCATTTGAATAAATCTTAGCTAAATCAAAAGTAGAAAAGATCACATATTGAGGAGGTCGAGGTGGTTGAGGGAGCCGCAGAAATAAACGATGCTGGCACGAGAATGAGGAGAGGAGTAAGAAGTGTTGAGCTATAATGTCTGTGTAGTACGCCTGCATGAAAATGACTTGCTAGTAATCACACATTTATGAATAGAGCAGCGGCTGCGAAGCAGATACGAAACGTTTTTACTGCGGCGTAAAGGGGACATAAATGTCAATAAATGGTTGTAGAAAGGACAAAACACAATACAGTGTTGTGATGTGGTCTTGTGTAGTATGTGTAAATGTAAAAATGGAGAAGCGAATAAAGCAAAGCAACTTGCGCCTTCTTTTCTATCTTCTTTTCTCCTTTTGTAGGTTTTTTTTAAAAGATACCTGAAAATGAAAGGGAGGGGGAAACTAAATAGAAATAAAGTATAGGATGGAGGTCTGCGGGGGTTAGATTGGATTCTAAACTATGTCAATTGCAAATCAATTTGGCACAGTCGGAACCCAATCAAATTCTCGACACATCTTAAGGATAATTTAAGTAAACACGCTGTACATTTCCACGGTTGGGAAAGCAACAGCAAATGGTCTGAATACTTTGGTAAATGAGTGGTTTCGATTTTTAATAATTCTGCAACAACAAAAAAAGATAAAAACATGTTTTCACTTTATTATTATGTCTGACTGAGTGTGGATTGAAAATGCAATTTTATCCATTAGAGATTATATATATAACACAATAAAGTGTAAAAAAAAAACAAAATTATGATAGCTATGGTGGTGAGCAGTATCATACAAAACATTTGACACAAATCAGTAAATAATGGCACAGCTAAGAAGACGTCACTCATCACATAAAAGCTGTTGTAAAGTGTTGACTGACTGTGAGAAATAAGAAACGTCAGTTTGTTACAATTTGTTTTTAACTATTCAGTAGGAGATTTTGTATTTTTGAAAAAAATGTTAAGACAGTTCTTAGTGTCAAACTGAGACGCCTGGACCGGATTAAGATTTCTTTGCAGTGTAACAAAAGTGCAAAGTGCAGTCGTGTGAGCCCAGCTGTGTTTGTTGAACAACTATTAACAGAGCTATAGGCATAAAGTGACAGGATTCCTGTGTTGTCAGCATGATTGCATCATTTAAGTGAAAGGTATAAGATAACTAATTTTTTAGGGCTTGTCTAACAAGTTAACACCCACTTGGAGCACATAACAGCTCTGTAATAAGTAATCACTGGGTACAAAGAATATTGTGGGTGACATGCATCACCTTATGCAACATTGACTCGACTTTGCTCACTTTCAACCACTGAGATTTGTAATATTCTTGTAACAAAGGATCAATTCCTTTTCTTTTGTTCTTTTTTTTTCATAATCAAGAAGTAAGGAAGCTGGTGTGAGTGCAGGTGTGTGTGGTGTGGCTGAAAAAAAAAAGTGTTTCCAAGAGAATAAAACGACTTTACAATTTACGGAGTTATGTACTTCTTCAACTTTAGCCTCGCTAGCAGGATGGATGGATCAATGTATAGAGCGCTGACCTTCCTTTAGCACCACAATTAGGTCGATATTGGTGGTTCTGAGTGTCTCAAATGCTACTGGAGGGATTGTTATGGAATGTCCATACAGACAACCATTTGGAGGCTGCAAGGTGACGCAGTAGTTAGCATGGTTGCCTCGCAGCAACATCGCCGGTTCACGTCCCGGTGAGGACACCCGGGATCTTTCTGCATGAAGTTTGCATGTTCTCCCTGTGCAGCGTGGGTTCTCTCCGAGTTCTCCAGGCTGCCTTCGCCCCAAGTCAGCTGGGATAGGCTCTGACCCTAGTGAGCATTAAGCGGTGTATAGATAATGGATGGATGGATGGACAATCATTTGCCTCTCTAGAAAAATGTTACTCAGTCTGGTGATTCTTTTACTTTCTATGTAATCGCTTCCAGTCAAACATCTAATTTGTTACGTGCTTTTTTTTCAAGCCAAAGCCAAATCCAGGCACATTTCTATCAGCCTTAACTTTGCTTGTACAAATTAACAAATGTTGACAAGTTACAATGACATCGGCATCTTATCAAAGTGGCACTGTCTCGCAAAGCTGCGAACATGGATTTCTGATGTCAGCCTGGTAAGTGCAAGTGAAAAAAATAAGGTTTTCTTTTAAGAGCTATTCACAAAACTACTGAGAGGACGTTTTACTAAAAAGAACACAAGAAGAAGCAACAGCAACAAAAAGATATTAATTACTCAAGTTGTAAATCTTACAGCTTTGACACACATTGAGCTGGAATATTGTTTCTCTGAAGATGCACATAAACAGTGATGAATACACACATGAACATAATGCACATTATAAAAGAAACAACCGAGAGAGAATTGCAACATGCGGTCATGAGAAGCATGAGTCCAGCTTCAGCTCCAAATCTGGGTTAAAACATGAGACCTAGGAGCAAGTTTTAGTGTCTAAAATCATTTGTGAAAACAGACAGTACCTCTTATATTTACAGGTTAGCACATACTTTTTTCCCCTGCGACTTCTCTCTGGTCCAAGGTGAAATCGATGAGAAAAATTCAACCACAGAGGGCAGCTATGACAGCAAAGTCTGCTGGTTTGTAATGAAAAAGTTAATTATTTCTTCAAACATACTTGCTACCTTAATGTCTGACTGCTCATCCAGCCATTACTGTGTACTAGTGCACAGTAGCATGAGCTCCTCCCTACGTCTTCCTCTTTATATAGTAAGAGGTGCACACTTTTCTGTGTTCGAACCAATTTAACATAACGCTCAAACTAAGATGCGCTGATCAATTTAATTTCTCTCAGTTTGGTCATGTCAAAGAAGTCTAATTTTCATCCACTGGTTTCACATACATG